TCACCCACGCTCCTGAATCGCACTTGGTCCCGTTCCGGGTAAAAAGGATTAAGTACCTTTACCAAAAAGGGGACCGTCGAGCGGGCATTCGGACCAAAAATAGAGTAAAATCGACCCTTGTGGTCGTTGACCTATCTTTGGCTCTCCCGCTAACTCGCTCGACCCGAGACACTTGTCCTTAAGGCACCTGTTCTCGGGATACAAGTGTTACGCCCTTCCTTCGGCCCATCCTTCCTCGGGTCTGGACGTAACACTTGCATATTGCACTTTACATCTTAAATACATAATAAAAAATTATTTTCGTTTATTCGCCGGACATTTACTTGTCCGACTTATAAAATCAATTTAATATCTGAAACCCGTGCTTTAGATCAGAAATTAAATTGAACAATACATTTTTAATCTTATTTGTTATCTTTTGCAAACTTTATATAATTCTCATAACTGAAATTTAAATACGAGAAAGATAGCGCATCGCATGTCGCGTAGCGGTAAATGAACGAACTAATACATGCTTGCGAGAAACTTTGACCTCCAAGACCGGACATCCAAATTGTGGACGTCCAAATATTGATCGTTAACGGATGTCTTAAATCGGATGTACGATGGACGTTTATTTTATGTCCATGGACGTACGGACGTAAAATGGACATAAAATAAATGTCCATAGAATGTCCTGTGTTGTCTGGGTTTGGACGTATGTACAAATTCTAGACTTTAAAAGGTCGACGAAAGGACGTCTTTTCGACATGATGAAAAGACATCTATAAGACGTCTTTTTCGCCATGTCCAAAAAAGTCGACTTAGTAAAGACATCTTTTCGTCGTCTTTTAGTATTTTGTGCCTTGTGGGTTGTTATTTATTTAATCCTTGATATCTTATTTCAGGAAATGTGGTGAATGCAAGGAAGGTGAATCTTATTTCACGAACAATTGAGTTTGAAAACGCGAGAATAAAATAAGGGTGTAAAGGAAACTGGTACTTACCACTCAGAGGTGGATTTCTGCTGATCTTGGTCGCCTTCGTATACGCAAGGTCTGGGTTTCTCCAAAAATTGACACAGTAAATATGCACAATTATAATTCTTTTATTTGAATTTGACCGAATGAGCAAATTGATACAAAAGTAATAGTTTAGTTATGATTAACGAATAGCAAGAATATAAAAGTAATAGCGACGAAGTAACACTGACAAAAGCGACTAACAGCAAGTCTTTTCTACTGACTAATTATTATTACTGATCGCGCCCGAAATCCGAGGTTTATATACTGGTAATTCCTTTGTTCCTTGCATGATCTTTCGCTGTAGGAATCCTCGAGTAAGGTGATTTTTTTCATCAGACCACGTCATACTCGGAAGCACCACCGAATTTCTTATCAATTGTTTTGATAAATATCTTTTCACAGAAGTGCGGCAGTGATCAAAGAGTAATGCGTGAATTTCATCGGAGGTGTCGGTCGACATCTCTGAGAAATCAATGCTCGATATATTTATGACTTCCTCTTTGATCACCTCACGCAAAAGCTATGCACTCTTAATTTTAATATTAATATCTATCACTATTGGTATTAGGATTATAGAATCATTATATATATGTATAATTCCCTTTCCTTATATTTTAGAAAAGATTTAGAAATATAGCTCAATTTAGGTAGAATAATCGAATTTAAATTACAGCATATAAAGGAAGTTATTTACACTGGTCGTGATTCATAATAAATTTTAAATAAAGCATTTTAAAGAGTTGAAATAATTTGGTAGTTATTCATTTAAAATTAATCCCATAGTTCCTTGAAATACCTTATTTACTTAAATTATTTATTTCGGTCGCATTTATTTAAAATCTAAATTTTAAATTTATTCTAAATTTTCTAAATTTAGAATAAATTCTAAATTTTAAATTTAATATATAAAAAGTCCTTATTATATATCGATTAAGGAGTACATAGTTAATTAGCAGATTAAATAACCGTGTAGAATAGGAACGGTAAGCAAGTGTTATAATCAATATTTCAAGTGTTAGAATTCATATATGCGTATATTGAAGTTAAAATTAATGATAATAGTGAATAAAATTGGTATAAGTAATAAAATCGAATATTCGTTCTTACTTCATGGTTATACTAAAGAAACAAGATGCGTAAGCGAATAATAACTAAATCTAGTAATTTTTAAGATGGCGGGACGTCACACTCTTTTATCGGTAAAAGAGGATTCAGAATATGGACTTATGTATCTATGTAATCTGTAATTAAAGATTGATCTGTAATTAAAGATCTGTAATTAAAGAAGTTGTTGGACCGATACTTTCTTTAGATTAATTTTTTTGTTCCAGCTAACCATGTAGAGTAAAATTATTAACCACAGAACTCTGTGGCATAAGATTGTCATATTCTGAACCTATTAAATTCTCGAATGCATAACAGACAGATTGATGCAACAAGAGCAGGTTTATAAAATCAATTATCATCAATTGATTTATCATCAATTTTTCATCAATGCTTTTGACAGGCTTACTCGACGTTTATTGTCACCTTGTCATATTGTCTGCTGACTGATGTATGTTTTTTATCTTTTAGCGAACAGTATTTGTTACCTATGTCATTGTTGAATGTGTTACATTTCGATATTACCCAAGTTTTTTAATGTCTTATGCAAGTTTATGGAGATATTGTTATGTCAAGTTTAATTTTTACAATATTTATAATTTTTCTTATTACATCTATATAATTTTTAGCATTATGTCCTTTCATTATTATGTATAAAATTGGAAATATCTGAAATTTGTGTACAATCGAATTTTTATATATTTATATGGAATGTACAGATCTTTTGTCATTGAGAAGAATATTTACTTAATAAATGAACTGATAAATAATTTTACATATTCTACTATGTGTAATTATAACAGTTCACAATTAATAATTATTACATTTTGTCCGGATACTGTTGTAAATGTTTAAAAAAAATGGTTAATTTTTCATTACTTACATTCGTAATTATAATTGATACTTTTCAATAAAAACTTTTGTCATTTTTAGTAAACTTAATATAATATCTTTTACCATTTTTGGTAAACTTAACACTATACGAGTTCGCTGCATTATAAGTATTTGTTTCCCTGCCGAAAATGGTCGATTAAAACCGATTAAGGGGTTAAGCCACTCTAGGATTTTGAAAAAATCGATTTTTTTTGCTTAAAAGGTGCCTTAATACCTTAAAAATGATATACCAAAAAATTATGGGTCAGGACCCAGATAACACAGTGAATTCTAACAGTATTCTTTAAGTTTTCTCTTTTTTAAATTATAATTCTTTAGGAATTCATAGATGAATACAATAAGAATGATTGTGGAAGTTACATGCACCATGATTGGAATTCTTGAGAACTTCTTAAAGTATTCATATAGTATTCATATAGTATTCATATAGTATTTATATAATATTTATAAAGTATTCATATAGTATTTTTCCATTTCCATAAATTTAAACTTTATGAATTCAATGGGAATAGTATTTGGAACACTGAAAGAATATACTAAATCTAAAAAAATAATTGATTTCAATATTTGCAAGAAAATATTTATTTATATTAAACCAAAATATATTTGAATCATTAAAATATACATGTATATTTTGCTGATTCAAATATATTTTTGCTTAATATAAATAAATATTTTCTTGTAAATATTGAAATCAATTATTTAAATAAATATTTTCTTAATTTAAATAAATATTTTCTTATAAATATTGAATCAATTATTTTTTTAAATTTAGTATATTTTTTCAGTAAACATAAGGCATTTTGTATGAAAAATTAATACACAATATTATTAATATTTAACTTCTTTTTAATATAACTTCTTATTTAAAATTAAATGTATGTGCATACAATATATATTATATTTTTATATGCATATATAATTAAAAAAAGTAAATATATATGTAATATAATAAACAACTTATATTAAACGCTGTAATTTAATTAATGCATATAAATACAACTTATTTTTATTTTCTATAGTAATTGGTTATTCTTCAGTTTCGTCTAAAACTTTTATTATGATACGTGAGTACTTTGATAAATCTGTAATAAAATATATGTATGAAATTATATAACATTATATTATACATTAGAAAGACTAAAGGAATAAGACATTCTATATAAAAGTAATATATAAACATATAATAGAAGTTTGTATTCATATAATCAGAAATCGCCTGTTGAAAGAACATGAACTACATGCAGACAAATATTTATCCAAATTTATCAATAGATAGAGATTTTGATTGACTTTGTTGGCAAACCAACTAAAACAGCTTGTTTACTGAATAAATAAACAACAAAAATAAAAACTGCATGTGTTTATTTCGAGGTTAGGTAGTAGGAATATATTTAGTTCAACTAATACTTACCATTCAATAACACCCAATTATTAATATAATTATGTAGCACTGTGCTTTTGTAATCTGATATAATATATATATATATATATATATATATATATATATATATATATATATATACAGGGTGAGGCATCTAAAACAGGCCACCTGAATAACTCCGTTGGTAAGCCGAATACAAAAAAATTGTTCAGACAAAAGTTGTATGGTTTCAAGGGGGACATATGATGGTGTCATTAGTTTAATCTTGAAGAGCCACCCGAAGGTCACGTGAAGGTCAGCTCCAACTTTTTAAATGGGACACCTTATATGCTTTTGCATATTCTTGTAGCTCATCTCAAGAGCTTTCCAAAACACTACAATTATGTTAGTTTTCATTAAATACTTTCCAAGTTATGAGGCTTGAAATCATTTTTTAATTTTACATATACCGTAAAATATCTTGTAAAATATTCATTTTTCGATTATTTTACCTTAATACTTTTATGTACAAAATAATGAGAAGAATCAATTGGTGTAAAGAAAACACATAATTGCTTCGAACAAAAAAATGTAATTTGCAATTAACAATTATATTCTATTATTTTATATTTTAGAAAGTAAATGGAGATCTTATGGAATTACCGCAACCAACAATTAGTAGAATTGTATTTAGAGTAACTCTTATATTAGCATCTTATCTAAATACTTATGTCAAATTTGTGACAAATCCAGCAGCTATACAGGAAAATCGAAGACTATTTAAAGAGTTAGGATTTGGATATGGTGCTATTGGACTTCCATCTATTGATGGAGCAATAGATTGCACTCACATAAGATTACTAGGCAATAATTTTAAAGGAATAAATGAGATTTACAGGAATAGAAAGGGATATTTCTCTTTAAATGTCCAAGTAAATAAATAAAAGTTATTTATTTTACTTAACTTTATTTTATTTTTTATTGTACTACTTTTTTTACAAGGCTATCGTTGGACCACAAATGGAATTTATGGACCTTGTCCCAGAATGGCCAGGAAGTCAACATGATAGCAGAATTTTACAAAATTCTAGAGTTTACATGAGATATCAACAGCGTGAATTAACAGGAATGTTAGTTGGAGATGCTGGATATCCTGCTCTCACATTTCTTTTAACACCATTCAGAAATCCACGAAACGAAGAAGAACAGAGGTAAAGTATTGATAAATTTTAATAAACTTTATGTCGTCAATAAATGAAATTGTAGCAAAAAACTAATATATATTTAAAAGAAATTTTATTTTAAATGACAATGAGCTTATGTACAAAAATATTTTTTATTGCAGATATAATGAGATTCATTCAAGAACGCGAATAATTGTTGAGAGAACATTTGGAGTGTGGAAGAGACGATTTCCATGTTTATCAAGAGGATTGTCCTTAAAACTTCTAACGTGCACTGGAGTCGTATCGGCTTGCGCAATTTTACATAATTTGTCATTACATTTCAAAGATATTTTTCCGGAAGAACCTGTACAACCTGATGAAATCGAGAATGACGAAGTTTATTACAATGAACCTCAATATCAACCTGGAGATGGTTTTATTGTAAGACAAAATATACTTCGCGAATTATTTCATTAATTTAATCTAATTATCCTAATTTTAGTATGTATTAATATTTATATTACATTTTTTTTCTTATCGTAAAACTTTAAAAATGGTTCGTAATATATATGTGTGTGTGTGTGCGCGCGTGTGTATGTGTACGTTAAGTTATTCATAACTATCAGGATGCGCAGAAAATCATAATTGTATTACCAATGATCTTTAAATAAATTTTGATATAAAACATAAATTTTATGTAGAAATAAAAAAGTAAACAGTAAATACTTCATCTTATTTTATCGCTTTATTCTTTGATATAATTATTAAACATTTCTTCTTGGAAAATATATATATTGCAACACATTACATTTATATCACATATATATAAAAAAATAAATTATTTTTGCTTAATATAAGTTATTAAACTTTATATAATACTGTAAAAACAAAACCTTTCTTTGAAAGAAATAGATACATAACATAAAATAACATAAAATATCATAACATAAAATAAATGTAAATAATATCACGAAGATAAATGTAAGTATAAAATTAAAAATAAAACGACATAGAATAATTTATTCTTGCTCATTATCTGGAACATAATATCCTTCCCTGAAATTAAAAAGATATTTAGAAATAATTTTTGTTATTTGTTAGATGAGTCATTACTTACATCTCCTTTTGAGCACGAAATTTAGCTAATTTGACTCTTTCTTGTAATTCTTTTTTTTCTAACAGTAACTTCTCTATCGTAATACGATTGATAAATTCTTCTCTTTCTTTTTTAAGTTTACACATTTCAATTTCATGGTTTATTTTTATATCTGCCAATTCCATTTCTTTTTCACAAACTAAAGTTATTCTATCAGTCTTTTGTCTTTTTGGAGTAGCTGAGATCGATTTGGTATTTGTATGTTTGCTTTTTCCAAAATGTAATGAATTTTCTTTATTTTCTTGTTCAACTATATATATATCTAAAATATATTTTTAATAATATGCATACATATTATAAGTAAACTTTAATTAAACTTTAATATTTAATGAATATTTATCTTACCAGATTCATTACTGGATTCTTTCAGAAAAGACGTATCATCAATTTTAAAACTCGCCTCTAAATTATCATTTCTTTTTTTATTTTCTGTATACAAAAAAGAATATAAAATAATTATTTTATTTATACAGTTAAAATAAAACTATTAGTTTAAATTAACTTACTGCTGTCAGATATCAATTCATCACATGTACTTAATAATTTTTGGGTTTGTGAATCTTCAGTAATGAAATCAATTTTCGTGAAAGAATTCTGTCGTACTGCTTTAAAAACTTCTCTTTGTCGATCTGAAATATCGAGTTATTTATTTCTTTTACCAAATATAATGTTTTTAAATTAAAAAATATTTATGCATGTTATCTAAAAATGTTTTAAATACCTTTGGATTCTAGCGTAGAGAAATTACTTGAAGCAATCGTTGCTGCTGTTGCCATTAAATCAGGAACAATATCCAAAACATTTGGATCAACTTCTTCATTAATCTCTTTTTCTGGTCCTCCTCCAGTCAGGAATCTTGATTGTTTTTCTGCTGTCAATATATTTTTATTTAGTGTTTTAAGATTAGACCAATATTTTCTTAATTGTTGTACATCTCTCTGTAACATTACATATGTCTTTATAAATGTGTATTATTTTAAAAAATTTATAAAAGTATAGTAAAAATAATAAATACCTTAGTAGAAATTAAAGAAGAATTATTGTATTCTTCCATAATTAGTGCCCAAGCCTCTGATTTTTCTTTTAATGAGGAGGAGCTTGTACCTTTTGCTTCGATAACATGTTTATATTTTTTTAAAATCTCCAAAAATACTTGTTTGTCAAGATCGGAATATACTATTCTTTTATTGGACATTGTGTTTCTAAAATAGGTTTTACAAATAAAAACAAATACAAATGATTCTCAATGAAATGAATAAGGTTAAGTTTTTCCCGTTTAAATTAATTTACAATAAATATCATATAATAGTATCATATATAATATCATATAATAGTAATTTACTTTATCTTCAACATTATAATTTTTTTGTATTTTTATTAAATTTTTAATTTAGTACATTACCTTTTATTAGAATTAAGATACTAAAATATATGTATATATACTATTTATTTGTCACATGTTCTCTTCCTGTTTTGCTCGTACATTGTAAATGTCATTGGCCAGATTAATCTTATTTCTAGGGAATCCCGAACATTTCCGAAGTAAAATTCTTAAGCATGAGCACAAATCCTTAAGCACGGGCTTTATAAAGACTACCTTGAACTCAACTTCAATTTTGTAAGATTTATCTGTGCATATGGTACATTCTTAAGGTAGTTTTAGAACTTGAGCCAATCTTAATTAAGACTACGTCAAGACAGACTTCAAGCAACATCTTTGAATTCCGGCCTATATATTGAGATTGCGCCAACTTCATTACGTCGGTCAGCGCTTACTGAGACCGCGCTCGATGTGGCGAGCGTCAGGGACGCCACATAAATATATTACCACCTTTTTATTGCAAAATACATGTAGCACACTGCACACTGCACGAAATTACAAGATAAAATCCGAACCGAACACATACAGTCTCGCACATGCGTGGAAAAATAACAAGTAATTCCTTATAAATTCTCAAAGTATTCATAGTACTGTCGCAAAGTATTCATTAAAATGAATTTATAAAGAATATTTCAAGACGAACTGATTATGAATAATTCTTCAAGAATTCTTAAGATATTCATTTTTCTAATTCTACAAGTATTCTTTAAAATAATTTCCCTATGAACTTATGTTCACCTTTGTGCTATCTGGGAAAAATATCTAAGTACTCGAATTTTGAATTTTGGCGCAGCCTCTCCCGGTCCGCTGCGAGCGCCTTTTATGATCACTACGGCGCGCTGTAATTTAGAAGGATTGGAGCAGGTAAAGGATAATGAAGGCATTTGCTACCTGAAGAGGCTTTCGTGTTAGAGGTTCTCCTGAGTGACTATAGATGTCATTATTTTTCACATATATGTAGGGATATGGGTATCCAACACATATATATTTATGTACGCCGTTAATTAATACAAAATCAGTCTTTATTCTTGAGATCACAATTTTATCTTTGGTACAAAACTAGAGTCTCTTACGTATGTAAATCTTTCAAAGAAGAAGAGAAAAGAACCAAGGGAAAATAAAAATATAAGAGATGCTAAGCCTAGCGTGGCGCTATTGTCGTATGTCGCGTTGTGGTTGGTCGTCTCGTGGTTTGTCGAGAAATCCCCAAATCGCCATTGGAAGGATGAATGGACGTTACATCACTCGAGTGGCGCAGCTTAAGACTGAGCCGCGAATCTAACGCGTTTGCCTGGGTAAACTCTCAATTTGATGGTTTCCGTGGCTTGCGTTGATGATGACTCGCCTTCTTCCTCAAATCCTGCTTCCATGAATGCCGGTTTAAGGCGATCTACTGAGATGTTAACTGTCTCTCCTTTAATAAGAACTTTAAATACATGATCTGTGATTCTTTCGCTTATCGGGTATGGTCCTTCGTATGGTGGTTCTAGTGGGCCTTTTACTTTGTCCACTCGCACAAAGACGTGGGTACATATATGTAAAGTCTTATGCGTGAATGTCTTCCTTTTACTGTGATGGGCTGTTGGTGTAGACCTGACATTCCGCATGTGCTCTCGGAAATGTTGTATAAAAGTCTTTGGTTCTGGTGCAACATCTTCGTTGAAGAAATATTCGGCTGGTAAACGTAGGGTAGTTCCATATACCAATTCTGCTGCTGTGGCCTTTATGTCTTCTTTGATGCTGGTGCGTAATCTTAACAGAGCAACTGGTAATGCTTGTAATCAATTTTTAGATTCATGGCAACGGATTACAGTTTTCAAAGAACGATGCCAACGTTCAATTATCCCATTAGATGCTGGATGATACACTGTAGTCCTTGTACGTTTGCATCCCAGAAGATTAGTCAGAGATCTAAACAGTTGCGATTCGAATTGTGTTCCTTGAGTGGTAGTGATTGTCGTGGACGCGCCGAAACGTGCTATCCAGGTATGAAAAAGTGCATCCACGACGGTGTCCGCTGAAATATCTTGAACTGGAACTGCTTCAGGCCTTGTGAAACGATCGATCATTGTTACGTAGTAATCGGTATCTTTTAATGTTGGGTAGCGGTCCAATGGTGTCCATGTGCACATGATCGAATCTTGTATCAGGCACTGGGAAGTGCTCTGGTTCGAGTCGGTTGTGTCTGTGGATCTTGTTTTTCTGGCACTGTAAACAAGTTCTTACTCATTCGGTAATGTTCTTATTCATTGCTGGCTATACAAATCGTTATCCAATCATTTTTCGAGTGACGCGTCCACTGGGGTGTGCTAAACGGTGTGTGACATCGAATACTCTTTTTCGTAAGCTTTTAGGTACATAGGGCCGTATCACTTCTTTGGAAATGTTGCAATAAACGACGATATCGGAATTGTCTACACGAATTTTCTTTAGTTGCAGTGATTGAGCTTCATTTTGAAGTAGGTCTTTGAGTTCCTCGTCGATGTGCCTGCTGTGCCTGCGCGAGTTCTTCGGTTGTAACGACGACTGGCATGTCGATTAATTCGACGCGTGACAGTGCATCGGTTATTGTGTTGTTCTCTCCTTTGATGTAGATGATTTCCGTGCAAAATTGACCAATGAAATCGAGCTGCCTTAACTGCCTTGGTGATGCTTCCGAAGACTTCTGTAAGAAAGCATAGGTTAACGGCTTATGGTCGATTTTTATTATGAGTTTGCGACCTTCTACTATTGATTTGAAGAATTTGAGACTGCTGTAAATGGCTTGGAGCTCTCGATCATATGTGCTATAATTTCTCTGCGCTGGGTTGAATTTCTTTGAAAAGAATCCGAGGGGTTCCCAATTTCCTTGATTGTATTGTTCCAAAACGGCACCCATTGCTGCATCTGAGATGTCTGATTTTATTGCCAGGACTGCATGTTTTCTCGGATGTACTAATAGAGTTGCGTCTATTTGCTGTTTGCATTCTTGGAAGACTTTATCTGCACATTCATTCCATGCTATAGAGCGTTTATCTTTCTTTTTGGCGTTCGTCAGATATTCATGGAGCGGAGCCTGCGTGAGTGCAGCGCTAGGAACAAATCTTCTATAAAAGTTTATGATTCCTAAGAAACGTCTGAGTTCGCTGATGTCCGTTGGTTTCTCTATCTTCTTAATCGCTTCCACTCTCTTATCCAGAGGTTTAGTGCCTTGACTATTGACGGTATAACCTAAGTAATTAACTTCTTCTTTGCCAAAAACACATTTTGCTGCACTGATGGATAACCCGTGTTCTTGTAATCGTTGAAATATCTGGAGTACGCGGTGTGTTTCCACGTTCGGTGACGCTATTAAAATGTCGTCGATGTAGCAATGACAATAGTCGATGCCACGAAGGACACAATCCATAAGCCTTTGAAATGACTGTGCGGCGTTTCGTAAACCGAAAGGTATCACGTTGTACTTGTAAAGACCAAATAGTGTTATTACTGCCGTTTTTAGACGATCTTCCTCTGCGACAGGTATCTGGTGGTACGCCCTTGCTAGACCTAGTGTCGAGAAAATGGTACATCCTTCCAGATTGTGTGCGAAATCGTAGAAGTGCGGAATTGGGTATCTGTCCGGCACTATGATGTTATTTAATCGCCTGTAGTCGCCGCATATTCTCCAATCGCCATCCTTTTTTGGTACTAAATGCAATGGATTAGCCCGAGGGATTAGAATTGGGTCTACAAATGCCCGCGTCCAACATATATTGTATTTGTGCGCATACTGCATGTAATCTTTCACCAGACAATCTGCGCGCCGGTTCTGCGACCACTGGACCTGTAGTGATAATGTGATGCGTTACTCCATGCTTTGGTTTCTGGAGGCTTACCGGTTTAGTGATGTCGCTGAATTTCCGCAGGAGATCGGCAAAAGAATCAGCATGGTCAAAGGTGGTAATTCCTCCAATTTCCGAAATTGACAGTTTACTGTCTACCTTGCAACTTGTAATTCCATCACGTAACAGTTTGTGTTTTAAGTCGCTTTCCACGCGACGGCGAAATTATCAGCGGTTACAGGAATACCGGCTACAACGTCGCGAGCTCTATCGGTCAAGCTTGACACTAGAAAATGCATGCAAGCAAAATCGGATAGTTCGTTATTTTGAATGATTAACGCAGTAAATCTATTGCGAAAAGTCTCCCACTCGTCGGCTTTACCGGAGAACGGAGGTAATCATATCGGCGGCAAATGTTTCAGCGACAGCGCGGATTCCGATTGTATGTGAGATACAGATCGGTCGCTTGGAGCGGACTTACGCACGGTTCGAGTTCCTCCAAACATTCAGACATGTAGTCCAGCGTGTTCTGGTAGATTTCCTCGTATTAATCTAGTTGCTCCTCTTGGAAGTAGGCGATGAGATCGCGCTTTCACTCCGGATAATGTTGCAACAAAAGGCTGTGCCCTTCAAGACATTTATTCCAGGTTTCCTTGAGTGGCGTCATTCGAGATCGTATTTTGGCTGGAGTGAGGTTGTTCTGCCCGAGTTTCTTAAAATTGTCCAATGCTTTGGCCACGGAGCGTAGAGTTGGTTTTCCAGGAACTCACTCATTGTCTCATTGTCTCACTGATATTTGAAGCAGTCATAGTTTCAATTTCACTCATAATTGTTATCACGTTGTTTCAGAGTTCTCGCGATCCGGCTCGAAGGACCAAAATGTTCGGGATCGCAATTTTAAATTGCTAGCGTAAAGCCAACACACCCGAATGGGTATCGCGAGCTGGAAAACCAAGTGATTTTTTTGCAGGATGAGTGATAGGATGATATGCACTTGCTTCTTTGATTTGTCACAGTAACGTCCACGAGAGATTTACTATCAATTTATTGCACTATAACAAACTATATTTACAATTTAAAAATTATAAAATAACTTAATGTCGCTAGTCAAATAATCCAAGGATCGTTGAAAAAAGTGTAGTCGACCGAACTAGCCAGAAATTTAGTTTATTAATACGACGTTTCGACCATATGGTTGTGGTCCTTATCAAGTATATACTGGAAAGATTTATAAATAAATTTAACAATTAATTTTCAGTTTGAATAATATAACAAGCACAACGAAATAAAGTGTGAACAATTTTACCGATGTAATAATAATCAGGAGACAGGCATAGACGATAATCTTGCAAATTTGCACAAGTCACATTAACAAAAAATGTTATTTAATTAGATTCGAATTTGAGAGAAACTGATGCGTCCGTGTGAGACTTCGTCAAGAAACTAAACACAGCGCCGTACCTTGGTCGCAGTGATGGATGAGGACTTGTCCCTTAAAGCGGACGTCGGGGCGATGCTCCGGGGGGGAGGAGCAGTGACGGGCGGTGGCCGCTTACTGCGCAGTAATGGTAGGCCGGGTGATTTTTGGCGCATGCGCAGTAGAAATCGCAGAAAAGCAACGGTGTATCGGATAGCGGATTATGGGCGCCAAAGTTACATGAAACTAATCACTCGGTCATTAGCAAACATAGATTGGAATCCGGACATGATTTTGACTGGTCGAAACCCAATATTTTGCATAGCGAAAAATATGTTCGAAAGAGAGAGATCGCTGAGATGTTCTTTATCAAGAGATTTAATAATCTAATCAACCTACAGAAAGACACAGATAGTTTAAACAACATTTATAACAAAATAATAAAGGTCACGTAGTCTCGTTTTTCATCTGGTTGTGTTTAGTTTCTTGACGAAGTCTCACACGAATGCATCAGTTTCTCTCAAATTCGAATCTAATTAAATAACGTTTTTTTGTTAATGTGACTTGTGCAAATTTGCAAGATTATCGTCTATGCCTGTCTCCTGATTATTATTACATCGGTAAAATTGTTCACACTTTATTTCGTTGTGCTTGTTATATTATTCAAACCGAAAATTAATTGTTAAATTTATTTATAAATCTTTCCAGTATATACTTGATAAGGACCACAACCATATGGTCGAAACGTCGTATTAATAAACTAAATTAGTAACGGTCGTATTTTCGGACGTTTTTCTTAGCGCGGATAGATCGCCGGTGCTGGGTTTCTTTAAATGAAAATACGCGGTGTGTGGTATAATTGCGTTTATTTAGTTTGTATGAATGTGTGTACAGAGTTGGAGTGTGTAAATGTGTAGACGAGTGTGTGAGCGTGTGTGTGATTATAAATGTTCGTGTATAAGTCGCGTAGTTCGCGTAATTATGCCGAATATTAACGCTGATTTAATTTCGGCCTCGTTTTCGCACGCGGGCGGGTGTTTGCTATCGCGCGAGACGGCGCGCATTTTTGCGACGCTTTTTCTCGCGGTGATTCCGATATTCCGAGAATTCTTCGGTTCTCGGAATCGACGGGTATTTTCGCCGTATTATTTATTTCACGGCGACGCGATTTAAAGTCCGCGTATAATTCTCCTATGCGTTTTAATTCGGCGGCGTTTACGCGTCTATCTCTGGATGTCGAGATGCGCTCGCGTGGTTGCATGCAATGCGTGCGGCGATGGTCGGCGCGTGCAATCCCGGATTTATTTCGCGAAGGATGGATTGCGCAATGCAGCTGGATCAAGAGCTCTCGATCCGGGGCGGCTCAGAGCTCCACCTTCCGTGACAGTTCAGCTGCGGATGTAGGCGGTTTGCACTTGTGCTTTGGAATCGAGATCACTCGTCTGAGACGGAGCTCGCTCCACCTTTCGTCCTTACCTACTTCGTGCGTTTTCGAGAGGATTTTCTGGATTGCTCTGAAGCGTACTGCTAAGAGCGGATCGGGAAAATGTGTTTTAAGCCAAAAATGTGGCCCTTTTTATACGGGCTAATTGCCCGCGTCGGCGCGCGGCGGTATAACCCCTTCCGAACGGGTTTTCGGGAAACGGTACGGTCGGGCCCGTTCGGAGGGATTCGGGTAGGAGCCGAACGCGGGCTTTCGCCGGTCGGCGGTTCGGGCCACATCGGCTTTGTTCGGCGGTGTTCGGTCGAATTTCAATCCGAACGGTTTTTGAAATCTTAAAAAAAAAGGTGGGCGCACCGCGCCCCTGCCTCTGCCCGGCGGATGTTCTGCCGGGCGGCAGCTTCCGGCGGATGACATGCCGGGAATCGTAACGATGCACCGGGATGCATCGTTACAAATTTCTGGCTAGTT